CAAACAAGATCTCTTTGCTGTTGTATTTTTATGAGTTTATCTTCAAAAAGGCCACTATTAACCTGTGAGTTTTTTCATGACCTGGCCTTTTCTTGTCCATAAGCAAAAGCAGAAGACTAATAATTAATGTAATTTCTAGTATAGTATTTTTCAATCCTCGTTATGTCACATATGGCCTGGATGTTCTATTTTTGCTGGTTTTGTGTATTTGTTTAAGGCAAGAGGTTCATTAATGTGTCACCACATTAAATTTTTGCAGAGTTTCAGCTGTGTTCAAAAGAAGAGATTTTTAAATTTAGTTGTATTTTTTGAAAAACGAGGTATAAATTTACTTGTGTACCCACAGAGGTGGTGGGAAATGCCTGAAGAAATGAGCCTGGCTTTGTAAGAGGTGGTTTCTGGGGAGTTTTGGGTCACTTGAGGTGTTACCTGGTTGTTGGGGAGTTGTTGAACTTGTTGGGTGTTGTCATTTATGACTGATCCCACTCGGTTGTCCAAGTGGGTTTAGCTTTTCTTAGGGCAGAATAATCCACAACAGATTTTTAACAACTTTTAAAATTGGTGGATAAAGTTGATCTTAATGCTGGTAATTGATGTTTTTCTAACTGAGCCAACTCAGAGGCTCCTCTGTAGGTAAGGCTGAGTGCAATGAACTACAGAGATGTATCTGTAACGTGGAAAACATCTGGCTTGTACTTAGTTGAGTTCAAAATTTGATGTTGACTGTTCTTAAATTGTTAACAGTATGTTTTAATAAATCCTCATTTGCTTTATCATTATTATTAATTGACTGCAGCTCTCCCAGGTCTCAGATCCATGAATCTCTCCAGCCATGGCTGGTGTACTTTGGCTTGTCTTTTCACCTCATCCTTGGGGCTGGCTTTGCAATGTCTGCTCTGGGCTGATGTTCCACATGCAGGGAATCCAAAGATAATTCTTGATGACTGAACTCTCACTGACAATGATGGATAACGCTGCTGCTTTTTTGGCAGTTGGCTGTAACAAGGCAAACGGATGGGCTGGGACTTTAAAATTTTAACTGCTCTTGGTTTCCCACCTGCTTGGGGAACAGTTTGATTGTTGACAAGTTTGCTCTCTTGAGGAGCTGCATTAATTTTTAGGGCATAAATCCAGTATAATTTCATGTATTCTTTGCCAGTTTGTGGTTTTGTTCATGTAGTGCAAGTTCATAAGTGGGTTTTCTCATTCCTCTTTGGATAGGGATCCTTAACTGTGTGTGCAGAAGGCAAAGGAAGCAGGTGGCCATCAGGAGGAAGGAGCATTTTAACTTTATCTTCCTAAATAGAGATGAAAAGATGCAAAGAGTGGCCGTTCTTCCAGATGAACACAAGTGTTAGTGAAAGATAAATCAGAAAAAAAAAAAGGAGGAAAACACCACACTTTTAAAAAAGATATTTGTCTATATAATTTGAAAAATATTTAGATTTAATATAATAACTGTAATATTTCTCCAGAGCTCCGACACATGCACGAACTATACATTTAAGTCTTCATGTTCATCTGGAAAATACCAAAGTTCAAGGTCTCATTCCCAGACTTGCTTTCCTTAAGGCTGTGTTTGGCTGGAGGCTCTGCCAGCAGGAACTCCAAGTGCTGCATCCCGAGCTCCTCTGCTCCTCCATTAACTGCTCCTTGTGATGTGTCTCGGAGAACGAGGAGAACAACTTGTCTGAGAAGTTCAGTCCAAGTTTTTCCAAGTAATTTTCATCCATTTGGAGAAACACTTTTGATCTTGCACCTTGTGGAAGATTTTTCCCTCTCTCCAAATGAAAACCTCAGCTGGGAAGAGGAGGAGATGATGGGCCTGGTACTGCCAAAAGTTCTTTTCTGTCACTGGCTGCACTCTGTGTGATTGGCAGGTTATTGGCAATGGAAACCCAACCATGAAGATTAATGAGCGTTTCTGACTCACACGTTTTCCATACTCAAAATGACCTTTGGCAGCAATTTTCTTACGCAAAATATAGAATGGCCTTTTAAAAAAAAAATATCAGAGGCTAAATTGAAAACTACACTTGAAAATCATTAGTTGGTATGTTTATTTTTTTAGAAATATTTTCACCTGTAATTTTGCAGATTATTCAGTAATCATTAAAAAAATCCCCAAATATTATTATATCTGTGCATTTCATGCATTTATGACTTTTTACTAAGTTGGGTCCAAGAACAGGCAAATTGCAGAGCCAGTCTCTCCAAGTCCTAATGCTTATGGGGAAAGGAATATGTGAGCACAAGTGGAAAGTTGTGCAGCCTGTGCAGACACGCTGGGCTTGGGAAACACTCCCCCTGACCCCCTGAATATTTTCTTTCCATCTTCTCCAGTAGTCCTGGCAGCGCTCAGAGAAAGAATTGCTTCACTTGGGATCTCAGTGAATATCGAAAGCTTTCCTCCTCCTCCTCCTCCTTGGTGTTTTCTGTATTTCAGTACATAAGGAGTGATTTAAATTTACTTCATCTTCAGAGGTGGACAGAGTGAAAAAAGAAATTGGAATAATAAGTGAGGATGCATTTGTCTGTAATGAGTTTTAATTCCTCTGATGGATTTTTGTCAGCTTGGCCTGATATTTTGATTTTATGTAGAATTCTGTGTTTATTTTGTGTATATTTGGTATGTACTGGTCCCAATGATTTCCTTTTCTCCCAGCTCAGGTTTCACAGCATGAGCTGTGACAAATTTCTGCCTCGATGGTGCCTTGTTCTCACAATTTGTCAGCAAATTCCGGGGCTGTTCTTGTTCCACATAGAACACGGACCGGAATCGTAGTTTCTTGATTAACATTTAGGATGTTTTCAATGGAAATGTTCCCTCCTCCTCCTTCTCCTTCTCATGCAGACTTTTGACAGCATCATTCTTCAGGAGTTAAACACAAGAAATTCCTCCTCCTTTAAGACTGAGAAAGAATTGAGCGACTTCATAAAAATGAACATTCCTAAAAAAAGGCACCACCCCCGCAACTTCTTCCTTCTTTTATGCCAGTTTTTAGTGCTAAGGCTTTTTTTCAAATATAAACTTAATAAGAGCAAAATGCTAAGGACTTTCTAAATGTAATTTTTATTGCATTTATCTCTACAGTTGAAATTAATTATTCAGAGTCTTCATTAAAAATAAGCTTTGGTAAGTGACATTTTAAACAGGCAGCCAGAAGTGATTGCGGGGAAGATGGTGATAAAGAACAGTGTCTAAAAGGAAGTTTAAAATACTTGAACATTTTAAACTGGCCTGTAAAAACTTCCAGTGGAGCTGTTTGGGCAATTTGGGAAATGTAATGGGAGCACACATTGCTGCTGGACAGCATTGCCACGTATCGCTGTGCTGCCAAGTGTTTGATGGGGTTTTTCATTCAAATGTTCAGTGCTGGCATTGAGAAAATGGAAACAAGTTTCCTTTTTTTTAAAAAAATACAAAATATGTGAGTGTTTTTCCCCTTGATAATGGAGAAAATTCTGCACAGGTGACTATGAAAGTCATTTTAGACGATATTTTAGATGGCAACGAAAGGAAACCGACAGAACACCCCATTTATTGCTTGCTAAAATTTGAGCTTCACGTGCACATGAAGAGCTCTAGTACAGTCTGTACTTGTCTGTGATCAGCCAAACATCTTCCAGAGCTTCTGCAGGTTTCAATCCAGCAGCTCATTGGCAGTCCATGAGGAATCCCATATGTTGTTAGGAACAGATGCAGTTACTGTAAGGGGGAGGCAGGGCATTAGAACTCGGGGCTTTTTGGAGCCAGAAAACCTGTGGTCAGCCCTCTTACCTGCGCCAAAGTTGGGCTGCATTCATTGTTTGCTCCTGTGACAGGTTCTTATCTTTGCTTTAGATCCTGATGATGGATAATGTTGTTCTTCAAGTCTTGTGTAGACACATGAATGTTCAAGTGAGGGTGTGCTCTGTTACAGCTGAAGTAAACACAGTTCTGTCATCAGATTTGTTTAATTTGTGTTTCAGCTGTTTGCCAAAGGAAAATAAATGACCGTCAGTCATGTTTGAGATGCTGGACCAGTAAAAACAAGAGTGGACTGTTTACTGAGGGAAGCAGAGGGAGAGAGGAAAACCTCCCCTGTCNTGAAACACAAGTTTTCTTCCAAGTCCTTTCCTTAAGTTCACCATGAGCAGAAACAGTCTTAGCTATCAAACCCTCAGAATATTGACTAATGGTGTGGGAATGATGTCCATAATCTCTGAAAACAGATTAGATGCTGCTCTGCATGTGGAGACAATTGTTTACTTCATATTTCCTTTTGCAGTACAATGTAGACAACATTTCTTTAGTTGTTTCCTTCTACGTTGTCATCAGGAGTGATAGAGGTTTTCTGGTTTCTCACACACTAAATGCTTTTCTGTTGTTTAAGATTTTTTTGTTTATATGTGTGAAATGCACACAAGAAACAGTTTAGTCCTGTTGTTATTTAAAGCTCCAGCCTGCCCTTGTTTGCCCTGATGCCCCTCGTGTCGCTCTCGTCTCCCTACCCTGGAAGAAAACACATGCTCTTTAATCGAGCTCATCATCCAGTTTTGCAATAAATCCTTTCAAATCTTTTTCCTGAGAATTATCCTACTAAAACTGGTGCATTCCCATGTAAATTGGCTGTGGTACCTCTGAAAACGCTCGCTCAGACTCTCCAAAGAAGAATTTGGTGGCTCTTCAGAGCTGTGATTTACAGACTTCCCCCTGCCTATCTCGAATTGATGAATTCTTTATTGCTTTGCCAGGGGTAATGGACTTTTCTATAATTCCATTGAAGCCATCCATTCCTCCCTCCATCCTCTGTGAAGATGGGAGTGCTTGGAATGGTGCAGTTGTCAGGCTCGATGGATGAGCAGCTTTAGCGTCTGATCTGTGGCCACGATGCTGGAGAAGGAGCCGGGCCTGGAGGCCGTGTCAGGACTGTTTAAACAACAAAGCTGTGTCAGTGTTTTATGTATCAGGTTTGCTCCTTTCCATTCTCATTTCCTCTCTGATCTCTGTCTTGCAGTGTTGTCCCTCAGACCACAGTGATCCTCAACAATGACCGGCAGAATTCCATCGTAGCCAAGATGGTTGGGCAGGAAGAGCCGTTGAGCAGAGCAGCGGATTCCCTGGAAAACATCCTTAGCAAGTTAGTAGCATGCCCAGGAATCCTCCCCTTCATTCCCTGCTTTGACAGAGCAGTATCAGTTTAAAGTTTGAAGTGCAATTTGAAGTGCAAAATGAGGAATACTCGAGGTAATAGTGATGGAAATGATGGAAACATTGAACCTAGACTGGGATATTTTCTCAGGCTGACAGTAAAGGGAAAGCAATGCTTCACTCTTGATGGGAAAGACCGTCCTGGAGGATCTGGGGTTGGTCCCATGTTATTTGTCAGCTGACAGTTAAAGACAGAGTGCCCACAACCACGTGTTTTTGCACGATCACTTGAGAACATGCCAAAATCCTGCATTTAACCAGCTGAAGGAGGAATGAGCAGCAGCCCAGGAAGGCTTGTACTATCTTAAACAAATTTTCAATAAGTAAATCTGGGGATTCTGCGTAGAAAATGGTCTTCAATAATATGTTTTCATAAATAATTTAAATATTTTATTTGTTTTGCACACTGGGCTGAGGCTTTTCCATTAATGCAAATTTAGACAGTGTATCTAAGACTTTTTGATTTCTTCTGCTATTTTCCTTCCATTTTTATTTTGCTGGATAGCTCTGGGTTATAAACAGGATTAAGGAGTTTAAAGGAGTTCGTTTAATAAATTATTTAATAATTTATTTAATAATACATTTAATTTTGTCAGGTTTTTTAATTCCCCTGGAATGATGTACAGGGCCATAAGTTGGACTCGATGATCCTCCAGTGCCCAGTCATTCCTTGAACAAGTTGTGTCCTTTCCAACTCGGAATGCCCTGTGATTCTATGCTATTCCCAGTGAAGGTTCTGTTTTCCCAAAGTTCCATCCCTTCCTTTCCCACAGTGCCGTGCCGGGCCGTCGGCAGAACACCATCGTGGTGAAGGTGCCGGGGCACGACGACAGTCACAACGAGGACGGCGAGAGCGGCTCCGAGGCCAGCGACTCCGTGTCCAACAGCGGCCAGATGGGGAGCCAGAGCATTGGGAACAACGTCACCCTCATCACGCTCAACTCCGAAGGTACCTTGGCTGTGAGGCTGCTGAGCAAAGTAAATGTGGTGGTGCAATGAACTGAGAATCAACTGGCAACTTCCAAGATCATATCGTGGGTCTTCCTTGGAATTTTTAGGCAGCGCAGTGAGATCAGATAAGGGTGGATGTATTTGAATCGTTTGCTTGCTGAAAATATGTTCTGAGACACCTGAGCTCAGGATGCTTCAGCTTTTATAGGTATTCATACAACACACGTGTGTTGTAAAGAGCTTCTAGGTTCTGTTTGTATGTTGTGAAACAGAGTTGCTTCGAAGGTGTTTTGTAGAATCGTGGAATGGTTTGGGTTGAAAGGGACCTTAAAGATCCTCTTTAAGGTTCTAACTCTTTAAGTGGGCAGGGACATCTTGCACTATCCCAGGTTGCTCTAAGCCCCATCCCACCTGGCTTTTAACACTTCCAGGGATGGAGTATTTCTTTTTAGGTCAACAGGGAATCAAAAGCAGATTGAGACTGAGAAGTTCCTCTCAAAAAAATGTTCAGATTGCAGATAGTGCTGGTATTTCAATGTGAAAATAAATATAAAATGTTCTTTTTGTGGAGTCTGTTAATAGTTCTATATCAGGCATAGTGTGGCCAGCAGGACTAGGGAAGTGATTGTCCCTCTGTGCTGGGCACTGGTGAGGTCACACCTTGAGTTCTGTGTCCAGTTCTGGGCCCATCACTGCAAGACAGGCATGCCAGGAGCAAAGTTGCCAACATCAGGAGGATATTCATTGTCTTATTCCCTTTTTGACTTGCTTTGGCACAGATTTGCACACACAAACGTGACATTGGCTCTTTATGCCATTGTTGTACATGTAAATTTTGAAGGAACACCTAATCCATTAATGTCTTCAGATCTGATTTTCTTCAGACCTTTAGAACACTCATCCATTAAAAATCTCCCTGAGATGGATGAATGCTCTGAGAATCAGATCAGTGATCCCCACCTCCCTCTCCTTGCCCTTGCACAGGAGGGCTGCTGAGTGACCTCTCCTGCAGGGTGTCACAAATGAAATTATTAATAAAGCAAGGGATGAAGAATGGTAGGGCTGCTGTGCAGACTTGTTTTTTTCAGCAGTAAAAGGCAAAAGTCACAGCAAAAGGCAAAAAATCATCAGCTTTCAGACTATGACAGAATTTTGTGAATCAATTCTTCAGGCCTTCATATCTCTGGAGATATTGAATCAAAGAATGGTTTGGGTTGGAAGGGACCTTAAAGCTCATCTCATTCCAGCCCCTGCCATGGGCAGGGACACCTTCCACTAGACCAGGTCCAACCAGCCCCATCCAACCTGGTCTTAGCACTAATTTAAGTAAGGTCTCATGAACAGTCTCTTTTCACAACAGTTGTCATCCTAACATTGTGTTCTTTTGGATTTTGCCTTCCACTGGAAAAAAATAACACTGGGAAGAACATTAGATCCACACTAGTTTTAAATTAGAGGAGTTTTAAACCCGTTCTGTTCAGTACCTGTGTTGTTTCCTGACTGCAGTGAGCTCTCCCGTGCTGGAATGGGTCCATAATCCTGCCAAGGGCTGGTGTTCAGTTGACTAAACCATGCACCACCACAAAGCTGTTAGAAAACATTCTGACAGTCTCAAATATATTTATCTAAACAGCTTCTCTGGGTAACCTGTTCCACTGCCTCACCACCCTTCCAAGGAAGAATTTGTCCCCATTATCCCATCTAACCTTGCCCTTTGGCAGCGGGAAGCCATTCCCCCTTGTCCTGTCACTCCAGCTCCTGATGAAGAGAATATCAAATTAGAAATGTAAATGTGTATTTTTTGAGAAGGCAAACTGCTCTGCATTGTGTGGTAACTAAAGGATGAATAATATTTTTTGCAAAGAAAACTCTTTAGTCACATATTGTCTCTTCAACTTGGCATCTGAGTCATTTTACAATAGTAGCATTAAACAGTGCTCAGGATTTGCTTTCCAAATGTGAATCCAAGCAGCTCTTTGTATGTGGCCCAGACTTATTTATCCACAGGATTTTCCAGTTCATGGCAAGATCAGATCTCACATGTTGGATGAGCATTTGCAGCCCTTTCCTGCCAACCCCCTCATGACCAGATACAGGAAGAATGAACCATATCAGAGCAAAAGGGAACCATTTGTATCCTAAACCAATATTTTAGAGCTGGGGTGAAGGCACTGATGGGATTTCAGGAGCTGCAGTGTCTTGTTAAAGCCAAAGAAAATGACAGAACCTGAATTGCTCTGATGTTTTTTCAATTATTGGGAGCCAACAAATGAACGATGGTTTCTTCCAGGTGCCTGTCATGGTTATGTTTGGCATTAGCATGGGCCAGTGTGTAAAGTTAAACGTAATGAAGAGGCAAGAAACAAGAAAAAGTGGGCAAAATCCAAATGAGCTCTTTAACCTTTCTTTTAGCACAGCTTTAAACCCCATTGCTGGATTTGTAGGTTAATCTCCAGCCCAGCTGTCGCTGCCTTTCATAGATTTAATGATTGCTAATTAATAAAGTCAGTGCTCTATAGTCTCTGGCAATTAATCACTGCCCCTGTGAACTCTTGCAGGGGCTAATTGACAGAAGCTTATTTAAAAAGATCACAGAATCATGGAATGGTTTGGGTTGGAAGGGACCTTGAAGCTCATCTCGTTTCAACCCCCCCACATGATGATGTTGAATCTTCTATACATCAGCCAAAATGCTATTTAATTTCTCCAGAAATGGAAGTTTATTTTTGTAGGTTAGGATCTGGGATTTTAAAAAAATTTTTCAAAGATTAATTCATCTTTCTGCCTTTCTGTACCTACCAGTGGTTTGCTACCACTGCCAGCTCTGCACCCAGCCTGGATAGTAAAATAAACACAATACTGGAGTAGTGGAACATGTTAATTCAAGTGCTTGTGTGGGCAGGTGTCTTCTTTTGTTTTCCCTTGTTTTAAAGGAATGACTGACAGCTCCCAGAGAGAGAGCAGAGCCTGGCTTTGCTTCCAGGCTCACATGTCAAAGCAGGGGAGTGTATTCCGATGGAAAAACGTGAGGAACAGCTCGATGTCTCTCATCTCCCTGGGTGGGAGAACATGTCCAGAGGGAGCCTGAAAGCCTCAGCAACTCCTGTCTGGTTTGTGTTCTCTTGACAGGGGTTTTCTTGCTGCAAACCTCAAAAGGGCTCCTCCTATTTTCACAGAAATCCTTGTTTGCGTGGCAGCCTCGGCACGTCCCTGCCCAAGCACCGGGATGGTCAGCGGTGTTGGGAGAGAAAAGAATGGACTTAGTACAGGAAAAAAGATTCAAAAATAGCCTTGAAAAGTGAATTAGTTCTGGCTTCAGTAGAATGGAGATAAAGGGAAATTTCCTGATCTTAAAAAAAACACACTGAGGAGAAACTAGAAATTAGTGTGTCCTGGCAATGAGGTTCTGAGTGCAGAGAGGGAACCAGCTTGAACTGACAGAGCTTTGCACTGGAAGTAAAAATGATCAGGAGCCACTTCTGTGATGATACAATATTTGGTGTGAAAAAAGGCAAGGAAGTAGCTTTCCACGTAGCACTCAAAATGCAGGGAGGTCATTAGGAAAATTCACTGAATCCCACAATAGTTGGGGTTGGAAGGGACCTCTGGAGATCGTCCAGTCCAACCCCTGCCAAGGCAGGGTCGCCTGGAGCAGGTGACAAAGGAACACATCCAGATGGATTTGGAATGTCTCTAGAGAGGGAGACTCCACATCCTCCCCGAGCAGCTGTTCAGTGCTCTGCCACTCTCATGGAAAGAAGTTCTTAATTAATTAGGGAAAGAAAAATACTTTAGGGCAAAATAAGAAAGGTGATTAACTGAGTTCCAGGTGAGTGTGTAAATTTTAAGAAAAGTGTGTTCTTTGAATGTGCTTTTCCTCCCAGCTCCCAGTTATTGATTTTTTGGAAGTCTTTAAGGAGTAGAAGCAGCTGAGTGTGGTTGTGCAGAGCTCAGTCAGTGTGTGGGTATTCCAGTGGATGTACTAAATAATTCAGCTCATCCAGATTCTCTCTAGATATCACACACAAACCTGATAATACAAATAAAGAACAATTCCAAAAGCATTAAAGGATGTTTGAGTGTAGGAACTTCAAATAATGCAGTTATTAATGTGTTCATGTACTTAATTGTTCAGAGGGAATTTACATCCAACTCCCAGTCTCTTTTCTCTTCCCTTATTCATTCCATCTCCCCCACACACACCAGGGCTCAGAGTGTTTCTGCCTCGCTCAGAAGTGGCACTGCATTTTCTCTTTTCACCAGATTTTATGTGCCAATCCTGTGTTTGCTCCCTGCAAAGTGCCAAATGTGTTGGCAGCCTGATAGGCATGATTTTTATATATTATAAAGAATAATTCAGCTTTTGTGCCCTGCAGTGAGACAGTAGATTCATGGTTAACTCCAGTCATGCAAGTCCTGCTTAATGCAAGATGATTGTAAAATAAATTCCCTTTCTGTCGAAACTTTTCAAGCAGGAGGAAAATACAAGAGATAATTTAATGGGGGGATTGTGGTCATAGGTCAGAATAACAAGATAGTGTCTTTTTTTCCAGCCTGTGAGCAATAAAAGAACAGTTGCATGTGGTAAAAACAGTATGTTCTGGACTCAGTGCCAGTAGAAAAAAGAGATTATTTTGCAAATTGAAAAAAACCTTTGGTTCACGTAGGTTAACAGGGTTTGTTAAGCAAGTCTGCAGGCAAAAGGTGTTCCATAAGGAGGAATAGCTCCTATATCCCATAGCAATCCTGTCAACTGGTAAGGAAATAAGTTTGTGATAGGATGAGAATAATTTACTTAGGCTTCCTAGAATGTCTTTGAAAAACATACACATTTATCTGGAGATGTTTTTGCTTTGCCAGCTCTGCCCAAATTTTTAGAAACCAGGCAATTTATCTTCAGGAACAGCCTGTTGTTTTCCCTGATAATGTTAACCAGACTTGTGGTGAGCCCAGACACAGTGGCATTCAAAACAAGCTGGAATTCATCCCAACCACCTTATTTTTTTGGATGGCACCTGGTTCTGGGAGCAGAAATCAGCCAGTGTGCCCTGTTACATGCTCAGGGTAAAAAGGAAGGTGGAAATGAAATATATATATATGTATATATATATAAGTTCCGATTTCAGCAGACAAAAGTTTGAGGGATGAGTTGCTACATACATCAGTAAAAAATATTTTTCCTTACCAATTATTAGATATTGGGGAGAAATTCTTGGCTGTGAGGGTGGTGAGGCCCTGGCACAGGTTGTCCAGAGAAGCTGTGGCTGCCCCATCCCTGCAAGTGTCCAAGGTCAGGTTGGACGGGGCTTGGAGCAACCTGGGCTAGTGGAAGGTGTCCTTGCCCATGGCAGGATAATCTTTAATGTCCCTTCCAACCCAAACCATTTTAGGATTCCCTGATAATCTGCTGTCCCAGTGATATCTCAGTGTTGCACAATCCAACGTTTGCTCCATCCTGTCGTTTTTCATCACAATAAACCTGCCCCTGACATGTACTGTGACTCAACCCAGAGGTCACGTTGGAAAAGCAGCTTTTAGTGTTTGAATTGCTTTTATGTTATATTTTATTTACTGCTTTTGGCTTGTAGTCTGATAAAGCTCAGGCTGCTTAGCCCAGGCCAGGATTTGGAAATACAGATGCTGCTCAGGGTCCTGCTCAGCGTGAAAAGGAGGCGCTGGTCGCTGTGAGCTCTGTCACCCTGTTTAGTGACAAGGGGTTGTGGGTCCCAGGAATTTGTGGCTGTACATACCACCAAGCTCTCCTTGAAAGTCACTTAATGCAAGATCAGTCATGTAACTGAATGGCTTATTCACAATAAATTACTGTAACCCTCTGGTATGGAAGGGCTGAGTGACCCCTGAGCCAGGAAGCCTTGTTTTACTGCACAGAGTTGAGTAAACATCGAAATCAAATCCAAATGGTCCCTGTCAGTGAACACTGAAATACTACTGGGATGTTTTTCTGTCCATTTCTATTATCACTGTCAAGAATTCTACTGGAATTTTTGGTTTTGTCTGGAATGAGTCTCATCCTCAGTCCTGTGTTCCATCCTCCACTTAAGCAGGAATTGGTCCTGGGCTCTGTTCTAGTTTCTGGTTAGTCTTGAATCCACTAACTTTTGGCATTGTCTGCACAGATTAATTTTAAGTGAGAGCATAGTATTCCTTTGAATTTAATTAATTTTATTTAATCAATTTAATTCCTAGTGTTCCTTTTTTTTTTTTCTGCCAAACTGACAAGCAGGAACAGAAATAAAAAAGCTTCTTAATATATAGAATATATGTGTTGGTGGGTATAGCTCTGCTCCTAATGATCTTACACTTGAATAGAAAGGAAGAGTCACTTGGCAGATGATTAGTGATTGATTAATTATCTTTATGCTGGGCCTTTTCCTTGGTCAACTGGTTGTTTAGAAAATAATGTAGCCAGTAAATTTGAAGAAAGACCGAAATTTTTTGGGGAATCTCTGGCTACGTTCTAAATGATTGTCATTGCTTGAGATACTCCTTTTAAGTGATTAAACAAATTCACTATTGATAGTAATTTCTTAAATTTATTATCCTGCTTAGACTCCTTTTTATCTGATATTTTTTGGGGGGGAAAATGTGGTTCAAAGCTGTTGGCTGCTTGAAATGAGCTGTGCTTTCAGAATAATGTGGCATTGCAGTAATCTTCATTTTTAGGAGATGACTAAGACTGCCTGAGAACACTGTGACTGGAGCGTTTTCTCTGGTGTGAGACACTTTAAAAGGCATCTGAGAGTGAGTTGGACATCTGGACTAACTGCACCAGATCCTGGCAAGGCCAGAATGTGAATGGCAATAATTTGGTCTGAATTTGAGAGTAATTTTTATCAGTAGCAGATCCCACGAGCCTCTTTTCATGCTCAAATTTGAAAGGTTTTGGAGACTGGGAGGAAAACTTGGAGAGGTCACGATAAGAGACGTTGGCTGTAAGTTGAACCTGACTGGTGGCACAACCAGAATGTGTCTGATCTGTGTTTGCAGAGGATTATCCCAACGGGACGTGGCTGGGGGACGAGAACAACCCCGAGATGCGGGTGCGCTGCCCCATCACGCCCGCGGACATGCTGCACATCAGCACCAACTGCCGCACGGCCGAGAAGATGGCCCTGACCCTGCTGGACTACCTGTTCCACCGCGAGATCCAGGCCATCTCCAACCTCTCGGGCCAGGGCAAGCACGGCAAGAAGCAGCTGGACCCGCTCATGATTTACGGGATTCGCTGTGAGTGTCGCGCCGGGAATTCCGAAACGCAGATTGGGTTTTGTGAGAGCGGGGCCTGTGTTGGTGTTGCAACTTTTGGTGGGTTTTGCTTTTGAAGGAATCCCAAGGGGCTGGTTTCATTCAGTTTGTTGTGCGTGTTCACCGCAGATTCCTCGGTGTTGAATTCTGAATTCGGATTTTTTCAGAGCTGCCACCTGTGAGCACAGCAAATATGGGAGAAACATTCCTTTTTCAGATAATGGAACAAAAAATAAAGCAAATGATGCAAATTTCAAGTGCTCAAAGCAGGATGGTCTTGGATCTTAGTTTTTTACTTCCCATTGCTGTGTGTTATTTCCAAATATTTGCTGTGATTGTGATGGAAGAAATTTGCAATCTCAGTATCATAAAATCCATGGATTCATAGCAGGGACTCACACGATGCTGATGGGCTTGTTTCTGTTCCAGTGTGCACGAATCTTTTGATTATTTAAGCTATTATGGAGTAATGAACAGATATTACTTGTATTGAAGGCACAGTTTTTGTTAATTTAAAAGGAATCAAACATGGTTTTCTATAGAATGTGGTAGGCACAGCCACTGGCTGTATAAGTGAAGAAGGGTCTGGATGTGCGTGACTTATAGCAGAGGATGACTTGGTGAATACACTGAGGTCAGCCAAGTCTGTTCTCTGCAATTTAGTTCCAGGAAATTAGAATATCCAGGATACTGGGAAAAGGTTCTTCTCCCAGAGGGTAGTGGGGCACTGACCAGGCTCCCCAGGGCAGTGGTCAGGGCCCCAAGGCTGCCAGAGCTCAAGGAGGATTTGGACAACACTCTCAGCACATGGTGGGATTTTGAGCTGTCCTGTGCAGGGCCAGGAGTTGGACTGGATGATCCTTGAACTGGATTCTGATAAACCAATAGATCTTGTAGTTAAAAGATTCTTCGTAGTCACATTTTATGTTGGTCACCTGAAGTGGGAATAATTTGTTATACTAGAGAGTTTTGTATGGAATTGCTAAGTTAAAATTGCAGTGAAGGCTTAAAAACATGGCCAGAGAGAGCCTGTTTGGAGTGGTGCTTGAAGAATTGGATGTTTTTATGCTTCTCTTGGGACAATGTGTGGGATAGGTACAGGGAAGGAAATGTGGAGAGTTTGATGATGCCACTGCTGTGCTTTGCTTACACTGAGCTGAGGAAACACAGTCCTGTTGACCTGCTGTTGTTTCTAGTGGTTTTCTGGCTATTTTGGGCACACTGATTCCCAAAACTAACCCCCTCAGTTGGCTGTGTTAGGCCAAGTTTTGTCTCATTACTTACCTGAAGAAGACTTCAGGCTTCTTCTGCAGATATGTTAAATACATATTTTTAAGAGATACAATAATTTAGTTCTGATCTCCAAACCCTTTTTGTCTGTTGATCTCATCAAAGTAAATGATGCTTTTCCAGTGTGTTTTTAAAACTTAGATTTTTGTTGACAGTAGTTTTTGGGGACATGAAGAAATGGATCTTTCTCCAGTGCTAAAGCAAGTCCCAGGCAGCCCTTTTCCCATCACTTTAATCCTTGAGCACAAATCACACGAGTCAGTTTGGAATTGGTTGTGTAGGAAAATCAGATTTTTGAAGATGTGAGCAAGGGGAAGGAATGTGCCCATGTGACCAAGTGCTCCAGCTGGGAATTATGTCATTTCTGTGAGGCATTCTGACCATGAAGAAACTGGATTATGGAAGTGGTTCCTGCAGCTGGAAAAGGTCTGGAATGGTACAGATGTAGGAGCAGTGCATCATGAGCACTGAATGACTGTCTTTGATGTCATGAGCGCGGTTTGGAGGGTTTGAGATCCAGGTGTCTGAAAAACACCTTTATTTCTTCTTCACGTTGATCAGTGTGTTGCTTTATTTTGGGAACCAGTCCATAAAAAACAAGGGACTGTGGATATCCTGTGCAAAAAATCCCTCCTGTGTGGGTCTGACCAGAGTTTACTGGTTTGGGTACCAAAATATTAATGGTTCTTGAGATTTGCTACCACCATGACAAAGAATCCTGTGGCAGCAAATGAAGAAAACTCGTGTTAACTTGATGAAGCAGCAAATTTAACAGTAGCAACAGTGGTCCAGAAATGATGATTGCACAGAATAACTTAATTTGTCATCACTGGGAGTAATTAAGTGGAAGCGAGGTTGGATTTCAGTGGTCTGTTCATGGCTGTGGATGAGTCCCAGCTTTCCAGGGGAGGTTGTACCCGTGCTCAGTTCGGTGGCAGAACTCCTGGTGAGTTCATCTGTGCCATGATTTCATCCCTCGTCTTTGCCAGAGGGTTACTGGGAAGAGCCCTGCTGTCCCACAGGGCTCTCCACACTCCAGCTGCTTTTTATCAGGGAACTGTTGTTCCATAAAACTGACCAAAATCTGAGTGCAGCTCTGCCTCAGGTGCTTGTCCCAACAATGTGGTTTGATTCTGCTCTGGTGAGACTTCGATGCATTAATTTAAACATAAATGAAAAATCCAGTGTCATCAGCCTCACCCTTGCCAGTCACAGCTGGAGGAGCTCAGGCCAATAGAAAGGATTTTATTTTTCTTGCAGTTTGTCAGTGGAAAGATATTCCATCCTTTTTTTCTGTAAGAAAAACACCAAGCAAATCTGTGTTTAATAGAGCAGATATTTTGTATAATGTGCAAAAAGTATAGAAAATGAAGAGATGTGTGTTTATTAAAAATTCTTGATCCACTGCACAAGGTTCACCACAAGAGAGAGGAAAGTTTATCTTTGGAAGGATAAATTTTCACTTGTGGGATGAATTTGCCTGTGGGGTGGCTGTGGTAGAGGAGAGAGTTTTTGGGCACGAAACCAAAATGACTTAAACACAATATATGTCATTAAATAGCTCATTACTTCAGCCCTACTAAAAATGGAGACATTTTCTGGTGAAATCTGATACAAGAACATCCTCAGTTGTAATTTTCTTTGCACAACAGAAAATACAGGTTTAGTTCTTTGGAGATTTTGCAGTGATTTCCACAAGTGAGTTGGAAAAAACAGATTCCCAAATTCAGAAATTTATAAGACATTTGATAATACAAAGAATGATTTTACATGTCATTGGCAAAAATTGAGAGGGGATTTCTGAAGTTCAGAAAAGAAAATCTATCAGTGGTTCTTCTTCTTCACAATAATCTAATTAAATGAAAACAAAATAACATTAGTTATATATATAATGTATATTTTTATATTTACATATTTTACATGTGCATATTATATATACACATATATTTTATATATATATATTAGTGTGTATAACGTTGTTAGTGTGTAATTTCTGTGCAGTCCTCTTGCTCTGCACGTGGGTTTTTGCGGACTCTCACCAATCATTTTTTCCCTCATTTGTCAGTTTTAGTTAATTGATCACTAATTGCATTAAGGGGAGACTGTGCCCTGGGTTCAGTTGTGTTTTGGGACCCCAGAAATCCTCTGGCTCCATAAAGCATCTCTTACTCAGGGAACTATTTGTATTGAAATAACTCTCATGGCAGGGACATGATTGTTGCTGAGAAAAACCAACTCAAAACCGTAAGTACCCCACCCAAACCCCCAGTGCTGCAGAGGGCAGGAAACTGTGCTGAAAGTTGTCCTGTTGTGTTGAATTTTCCCATCTGCTTCCAAAATTACCGTGTAGAGTGAATTTTCCCCAGTTTCCTTCATGAGTTAGCATTTATCTCATCCAGAATCCATCCCTGTCATCTAAATGCCATAGGAATAAAGTGTTATCTGGGAATACCTAATGATAAAGTCTGATTTTTAACTGTAAATGATGTATATTCTGCTTGAAATGGCACGTTTTCACTTTTTAAGACATAATTAAAAATATAGGGTAGAAAGAAATTGGTGATCAAAGCTCAGTGTTTCTGTTCTGTGTAATATTTTTTCCAGTCAGGATGGGACCACTTTCCTAGTGGATTAGTTGTAAGAGATGTTAATCCACTGTGAGAGAAGTTGTGTCCTCAACTGAGGCCAAACAGAATTAAACACTGGTGCTGCTCCACACAAACTGACACAACAGCAGCCCACACACATTTGCTTAATAGGAAACATATTTGGCTGGGTAATTTATGTCACTTAGATGAGATATTTATATATATATATATATTATTGCACACAGCCCCAAACATAAGGCAGGTTGGGCCAGTTTAAGCAGCTGGTCACTGGTGTCCTGTAAAATGTGTGGTCAGTCACTGCTGCTCCAGCTTCTTCTTTGGAATGAAGATGTTGATCTTTAATAGCAATGCAGGATAAACAACAAAAATACCCCATTTCTGTCTTAAGTATTATTACTTAAATATTGGAGGAAGGGCAGTGAGTTCTCACAGAGGAACTGTTGGCTCTGGTGTTTCTCACCAGTGGGTTTGTTTTATGAGATCCTCCAGGCTGTTGTTATTTTATGGAATTGTTATCATGGAATCATGGAATTGGGTTGGAAGGAACCTTAAAGCTCATGTCCTTCCACTCCCTGCCATGGGCAGGGACACCTTCCACTATCCCAGGTTGCTCCAAGCCCCGTCCAGCCTGGCCTTGGACACTTCCAGGGATGGGGCAGCCACAGCTTCTCTGGGCAACCTGTGCCAGGGCCTCACCACCCTCACAGGGAAGAGTTTCTTCCCCAATATCCCATCTAACCCTGCCCTCTGGCAGTTTGAAGCCATTCCCAACTTGTCCTGTCACTCCAGGCCCTTGTAAATAGTCTCTCTCCATCTTTCTTGTAGTCTCCCTTCAGGTACTATAAACAAACATTTCAGTTACTGAAGATATGCCCTATAAATACAAAATATATTTGGTATTTTTATTTTTTTTTAGCTTTATAATTTAAAAACCCTTTTTATTACTGTATTTTTATTAACTATACCCATTTTTGCTTTTATATCCTTATTTCCTTCCTAACCTTTGTACACTTTTTTTGCATTTTCTCTGTCTTCCTTTCATTTCCTGTTTATAATTTTGGGCTCTTTGTGTCTCATTTCTGA